GGCTCTGAAAATGGAAAGTATTACTTTCCCAGTAGAGAGACTGGCATCACTGTAACTTTTTATACCCCTACAATCACAGTTAAATGTTTGTCTATGTTTCTGTCATGTTACAGTTACTAAGGCATTGGATAAATTCCAGCACTCGCTAGACCAGTCTCTATATAGCCTATCAAAATTGAGATTCATGCTCCATTCTGTCTCTATGAGATCCTGCGTATGTTGCAAATGTGCAGTTCCCAGCGGTTACCTGCACAGTGAGAAAAGACCCTGTGCCTAGATTTGTCTCACTATGGGATGTTTCCTGTACTGGGAGAAGGTTTCCCAGGAATGCAGTAAACTAGAAGAGCAGTTGCCAAAGTTTTCTGAATCACTGTTCACTCTCCACATTTCTGCAGATTGCATGTAAGTTTATCATCTCCTCATGATCCAGAAACCAGTATGACGGCAGTGTGACCATTGCAGCGCTCTCTTCTGTGCCCCAAACCAGCTGTGGGTTATAGGCCGTCAGCTCCCACGTGAGCAAAGATCATGGACCAGAGCTTAAGAGTGAAAAGTTATGTGTTAAGGGTCTACAAAGGATTTTGTGAATAATCTTCTGCACATGAGACATAAACATTTAATCTGCAGCAAATTCTAGGATATCATGTAATCTATTAAATCTCCAAGATAAACTACTACATATGTTTACAAAGGAGATACCAAACCAAAACAGCTCCAACTCCAACAAGGAGGAATTTGGAGCACAGGTTGCTTTCAAGCTTGGTTGGAAAAGTTTTGGATGTCAGCCAGCTGAGTAGCAGAAATTGCAAAATAAAAGAAACAACCATCAATTGCTCAAGATTTAAAAGTGCATATTAATATATGTAGTAACTTACAGCTCGTTACCTGATAGTTATCAGCCTTTAAGCACACTCCATTATCTTGTGGAAGAAAGGAAATAGGAGTGGAGCAAACATTTAATATATTTACAAGTAATTTACAGATTATTGGCTGAGAGAGGGAAGGGTGCAATAAGTAGCTCGCAGGAAAAGTCATACTGCTAGAGGACGGGGGATCACCAGGATTTAAGAGCAGAGAAGATAGTATCTAGAAAGCACTTCCAGTATGTGTTTCAGGCATCTGCAAGCCCAGAGCAGTCAGAATCTCAGCAACAGGATTTAATGCCATCATATTTTCCAGGTTAGGGTTTTTAGTTGCTGTTCATTTTAATGGACCAGCCTATCAGGAATGCTTTGAAGAAACTGGAGGTGAGATATACCTCTAATTCCATTCTCAGTGTTTGTCACCACTGCCTTTTTGTTCCTGGTTTCCTTTCTTTTTTCCTTTCCCTGCCATCTTTTCTTTCCCAGTGACTTCTTGACTTTCCAAAATATCAATTCCCTTACTTTGCACTTTGAAGTGCTTTATGGACACTGCAGGTGTGCTAGGCTTCAGTGGGAACCCTGCAACGGACAGGTCTTCAGGAGGAGCTCAAAGGCACAGTTCAGTGGCATGAAAGACACAGCTTTCACCCACTGCTACCTGTTGGCCAGCACACTATGGTCAGGGCATGAGGAAACCTGCCTTGCTGGAAATAGGCATTCCTCTGCAGCATTATCACCCTTGTAAGATGGTGGGATATTGCACACGCAGAGCAGAGCTTTACATTTGAACAAGGTTTTGGCACAGGGTTTCTCAGAAGGGAGTCCTGCTCTACCACCCATGTTGTCCTGTACCTTCTGGGCAGACACATGGTGCAACCTGTAGCCTCACAAATGAATAGCTCAGATTGTTTGCAATAATCTTTTGTCTGACCATTCTTTGTGCTACAGAACAACGTAAAATGGTGCTGCCAACCATCCCATTAGCTTGTTTCCTCAGCAGCACTTACCTGACAGGACTGTCAGAACGACTGTCTGAGGATGCACATGCCTCATGAGCGGTTAAAAAACCCCACTGCTGCTTTCCTTAGGTTCCTATGGGCTGATTCACCTCACTGAGCTGCCCAGGTCTCCATGCACCTTTGTGATAATCAGAAGGGCTGGGGCAAAGGTGCAATTGCATGCTAATCCTTCACTTACCTACAGATAATGAATAGGTAAGAAGGAAAAGCCAGACACAGAAAAGATGGAGAACATATTATTTACAATTAAGGAGGTCACCATAATAGTGTTTGTAGTTCCTGTTATTATAGCTACCAAGAGTTCTGTCTTTTAAAACACTTAAGAAATATCATGCTAACTCCTGTTGGTGCTAACACTGTGATACAATGTGGGCCTGGATTTTTGCAGTGTTTTCCCCCCTATAACCCCTCCTGTTTATTTCCTTCCTTGGTGTGATAATTTGATTAAATTGCTCCTATTTCCTGTAAAAGGGGACACTCCCAACCTGCAAAGCTAAAAAAGATTTTAAAAGCCTGCATCTAAGGCTGTTACCTGCATTCTTTCCATACCTCAGTACAGCCCAGAGGCTAAGAATGGGAAACATACCCCCTTAGCAACTGAACCAGAGCAAAAGATGCCAGAAGGGAAAGCCTCCACAGTGGCCTAGAAGAACTGACAACCAAGACCTTCTGCAATTAATTAATAAATTAAATGATAAAAAGCAGGCTGAACCCAACAAATTAACCAACTCCCTAATTAACAGACAAAGCACCTCTACTAAACATGGATCGAGAGTGCTGACTACATGAGATTCTGGAGAACAGGCCACTGCTGTGGAGCAGTCACCTGGAGAAAACTTTATCTCAGAGAGGAATAAACCTACTGCAGTTGGCATGATGGCACTGGTATCCTTCCCCTCTGCTTAACAGCATTACTTAGGGGTTGCTACATGTCTCTAGGTGAAGGTCCCCATTGTCCCAGGAAAAGGATGGCTGGATGGAGGATTAAGCCAGACCTTTTTCAGGGTCTACAGCAATGCAGGATCTTTAAGTATTTTCATGGTAAAAGCAAGGACCTTGCTGTGGGACTCAGGTGGCTATGGGTGTATCTGAAAGAAGAAAGTCCTTGATGTTTGAGGACTGAAAGCGGAGAATTGACAAGATCCAGTTCTTGTCCAAAAGCTTTAGCCATGCCGAACGCACCACTTCTGTAGGACTGGCCAGAATGCCAGGAGGTGGGGTGGGCTCAGCCCCTGGCAGGTACATCAGAACATGCCTTAGTGGCACACTGGGGATAAATGGGGCTTTCCTCTATTAAACCAACAAACAAAAAGACAGCCATGGAAACCAAGTGGTATAGTTAAAAACAGGGATGGGAGAACAGAGAAATTTGGTGTCACCAAGGGACCTGGATGACCATGGTGGGAACTCTATTTGCAGCTCTTGAAGATGCCCAAAACTCCAGCTGGAAGATGGGCAGGTGGGAGAAGTAGCAAATGCATGTGTCACCCCAAGTATGTTTGTCATAATGATAAACAGGGAAGCCCAAGAGGGATGTAGAGCTGGGACAGAGGAGAGGCAATGCCAAAAGGGACTGCATGACTCAGCAGCAGAGATTACAAAGAGAGGATCCCTTGATGAGACCCAGCAAGTAAACAGCCATTTCAGTGCACTGAAGGTTTGATCCAGGGCTGCAAATTGGATGGAGGTGTGAGAGCCTGGAAAAGCAGCTGGTGCAAGGACACACCAGCCCTAAGGGTGCTGAGGTCATGGGAGGTGAGTGTGGGAGATTAAAGACAACAAAGACTAGAGGAAGAGAAGACATAAAGAAATGCTTGAAGGAACTGGGAGAGATAGATGATGATAGCAAAAGGGAAGAGAAATTTTCAGCCTTTTAGAGGTTCAAATTTCATTTTGAAGTAAGGATTTATTTTGTATTTTGGCTCTGATTCATTATTTATAGCTCTTTGTTTGCCAACACATTACTTCAGCACAAGTTACTGTGTTTCATTTAAGTTTGAAGTAATCAGCTGAAACTGACTGAAGCATTGTATCTTTTTATATATATATATTAGTATCTTCGTTGTAATAAACCAGGTTTACAGAGTATTTGCATTATTCAAATCCTTCATAAAGCAAATCACTATTTTGGTCTTCGTCTCAAAAATAAGCAGTGTCGACAAATTGCCTTGTGCTATTTATAGTAGTTGCATAGAGCCTGTGTTGTTTGTATACACTCAGTAACTGACAAAGTTATGCAATTACCCATGAATTACCCATGGATATCAGTGTAAAGCACTCAGCTTGCCTTCTTACCACAAAATCTGAATGCCTTTCAGTTTTTTATGTTTTTATTCTCACAGCATCCCATCCTATAATAACAAGAAATGCTATTAATCCTATTGAGATTAATGGGATGTGAATGCTGAGCTGGATCCTCTAAATACCATGAGCATTTAGTAAAAAGCACAACCTCAGGTTAAGTACTTACACATGCACCAGATGAGCTGATCCTGACTCACAACAGAGTTTGAAACAGTCACTTCCAAGGCATTTTCCAAATATAAATATTTCTGGTTTAATAAAACTCAGAAACCCTGAAGTATAACTCATTTGTGTTTTCCATGTGAAATCTCAGCTTCTCTGTGTCTTTTACATTCAGGTTTGCATGTTCTTTTAAGCAAAAATTCTTGCTGATACCATAGGAAAATACAGTTTTCTCTTTTTCTTTGAAATTGCCCACTTTTATTATGTATTTTTCTGCTGCACTAGATTTGGACTAAATTAAATATCTGTAGCTTGTTTGTCTTCATGTATCACTTCTATTAATGCTGTGAATTTTGAAAGAATTTATATTGCTGCCCCACATTCATGCATTTAAAAAACTCATCAATAAACCACTTATTTTCTGATGGTTGATTTACTGCATATACATGTATGTACGTGAAAAAAAACAACAGTCACCAACAGTTAAATCCAACATAAATAAAGCACAAGACAAATCATTATTTTGTTCAATCAGTTTATCTATCATCGCCACGTGGTGCAGAAGAACCACAGGCTGAGACAAGTCCTTGTCGTTTCACAAGTCTGTTGTGTTCATTCATGAGCAGCGCTTGATTCTTCTGCAGGGAAAAAACAAAGTTACACAGGCATCTTTCCGAGACTCAGATCGGCATTTATCTTTTGTGCTGTCGTTTCTGCTCTACAGCTGAATTCAGAGCCTGAAGGATCAGATTTTTGTTGTTCTGAATGTTGTAGCTGGTCAGTTCTATCAGCTTGTCGAACTCATCCTCTGTGTATGTAAAACTGCTTATGCAGTATGGGGAAAAAATGCTGGAAACATCCACCTTGCCCTGTGCCATCTCATCAAGGCTGCGCTCCACACCTGATAAAGAAAAAAAGAGCATTGATGGGGTATAGATGTGGTCCCAAGTTCTGCTTCCCAGGCAGGGCACAACAGTGCATCTTTCTATCCAGACACTCTCATTTCTCAGCCATGGTAGCCACATCAGGACATGGAGGGAACCATGTTAGACCATGTCTCCCATCCCAACACAGCCAAAGGGTGGGAGGACCATCTCTGCCCCATGGCTTACCAGGCTCTTTGTATTTTCTGAAGGTGTCATTCACCAGTGGGAAAAACACCACTATCGGTGCCTCTGGGTTCTCTGTGTCTTCAAAGATGTAGCACTCTTTTAGATTTTTCTTTTCTTCTTCACTCATATGGATTTTGGGAAATGGGATTCCCTGCTTTAGGAAGTACTTGGAGGCTTCTTCCAAAGGCTGCATTCAGAGAGGAAAGGGAAGAAAAGACCAGAAATTCTGCCACCCCCTCTATATTTCCTAATGCACAACACATCCACCAAAAGCCTTTCACAAAGATCCATGAGCAGCATTCGCTGTCAGTATTCCTTCTGGCCTTTGAGATATTAAGCACTTAATTATTAACAGAACAATAGTTCCAGACCCAGCCTCCAACTTTCACTGCTAACTGTTGTTCTACCTCCTCCTCTTCATCAGCTTTTATGTGCAAGATAAATAAGATGTTCATGGCTGAAAGCAAGGGTGGTCTGGCTGCTTAGGACACAGATATATGCCCCTTTTACTTGAGAAGATCCTGAAATGATCAGAATGGACAGGAAGTCTTCAAGAACTTCTGCCTTGTCAATATCTAATAACAGGAATTATAGACCAGGTTATCAGCTGGCATTTGAAACAGCACATATGGTGTCAAAAGACAACTCTTCTCCACAACTTAGAATATCAAAAAAAAAAAAAAAAACACCACCAGTAACTGTTCTAAAGACATCTGAATAAATTACTTCTAATTTAACTGCATGTGGACATCTTTAAATGGATATCACAAGACAAGAGAAACAAGTTCTTCAGTGGTGGTACTAGTTCCAGAGAAACACTCCGTACAGAGTGTAGCCTTGATAACCAGAGTTAAAGAGGGCTAAAAGAGCTAAAAGACAGTGTTGACTATCAAAGAAAATATAGCAGTTATCGCACCGATGTCTGTGATCCAGAAGAATAGTTTAAGTGTAGGACAACATCCACTTTCCTCTCTGGCCTCATGAGCGGTGGGTAGCTGATATCAATGTATCCTGCTGTGTCTGCCAGGCGTATGAACTTCGCTGTTTCTGTCAGCTGGTTGGGGAAATTCTCTAGTATAGTATCTAAAAAGAAATACTTGTTATGATGAGTGATTCACTGAAGAAGCAATTTCTCCACTCTTTGGATAGTAAGGGTGGGAAAATGCCTCTTGTCTCCCCATTACTTTTGCTTTCCAAGACCCTGCTGCACTGTGGAAGCTCAACCTTGACAGAGAAAAGAAAGACCTGCCCTAGGTAAAAAGACATACTCCCTCACTTCTCATGTTGCTTTTCTTCTGTCCCCAGTGAGCAGTAGTTGCCCTTCCCTGGAATCAAGGAGCGCCTTGGAGCTGATTTGACTGGATGAAATTTAACTAATTATCTTGAAATTTTTGTTCCCAAAGTGAAGAGTAACGCCTGTTCATCATCTGCCCTTTCTTTGCTGATGAAAACACCAACCATATAAACAGACAAAATTAATATTCAGCGATGTTTACCTTTCCATATACAGAAGTTTTTGCTCTGAAGGTATTCATTGTGCACCTGGAACCCCTTCAGGAAGTTGTAGAACTTTGAAACCATCACCCGCTCAGACAGGACCTGCCGAATGATGCCCATGATGCCACATTCAGGGTTGACTAAGTAAGTCTCCAGCTCATGGCCACATGCTGATGAGGAAGGCTCATCTCCTTCTGAAGGGTAGAGGAAATGAACAGTCAGAGTGGCAACAAACTTCCTAAAGCTGGAAAGATTATTTACTGCTTGATTGAATTCTTGGGTGAACTCCCTGTGTGCAGGTCAGGGTAGGCTGAGAACCTGCATCAGTTTCTTTCAAAACTAGATAATATCAGATTTGAAAAAAAAAAAGAAATGTTGTCAAGAGAGTTGGACACTCAGAAAACAGCAGAGAAAATGATTTGTGCTAAATGGCACCGCATGAGATTGGGAAAGAGGGCCATAGACTTTATAGCACAAGTATTTATTGAGCTCAGGGTTCTGCAATGTTTCTGCAGAGAAAGTGATGAAAAGCCCATAAACCAAACTTGCTAACCACATTTGAACACAGGAAGGACAGCCAACACCCCTAAGGAGAACACAGGTTTACAGCAGGATCAAAGGAAATGGAGTTCCACATAATTGCTACACCCAAGTCTTCAACAACAACATATAAAAGGTACCATCTGCCAAGGCAAACAGAGAACACGGCGCTGAGATGTTTCTTACATGTAGGGTCACTGAAAGGCCTCAGGCAGGTGATTTGTTAAAGAACTTCAGTAGTTTTATATTCAGTGACAAACCATCACTTGCACAAATTCAGGCCAAGGGAGACTAATAGAAATAATATTGTTATGAGGGAATTCAGAAAGGAAATCTGATTAGGTATTGCTGGCTCTCCCTTGGGGAGAGGGGAAAGAGTAGTGCAGCATTGGCCTCAGTTTTAAGATTTAAAAAGCCTTCACATGTATTTCACACTACATGCATCTGAATGCAATGTTCATTTAAAGATTCGTAAGACAACAGGTAAATTAGAAAAACAAACGTAACCAACCAACATCAATAGTCCTGTGTTGTGTACATCTCAGTGAGCACCTTTCTGTAGGATCTGACGAATGCCAGGCATCCAAGAGGTTGTAGGAAAAAACATTGCTCCACAGGCCTGTGCAATGGTAAATAATGGGGAAAACATGTTTTGAAAATGTATTAATGGAAAATCATCCCTTTTAAAAAAAATTTTTTTCAGCTTTGTGAGAGGTATCAGAAAGCCAAAAGATTTCCAAACTCTCACCAGAAACTGCATGAAATTCTTTTGCAGCAACTCGCACTCTGTCCTCAAAGAGGAACCTAAATAGTTTTAAACATTGTGCCAGACACTGTAGTTCATTGTCATGTACATTGTGCACACTGCAAACCAGAGTTTTCTGTCCTATAAGCAACAGTCATCAGAGAACAAAACCACACCATTTCCCATAAAATGTTCGGTGTACAAGGTATGTCATATACAACCATCCACTCAGTTAAAGGTCTGGGGGGGCTGCTCCTGAACAGCCAAGATTCAAGTGGTTATTCTTATCCCTGTTATTCTCATCTCTGTAGTCCTTCTACTTTTGTTCTCACATTTAAAAGAAGATCTAAAAATGTCTCGCTAGTGCCGAAATCTCCAAAAGCCCCTTGGATCCTGAAAAGCACTTCTTCCTCTGCAGCTCTGCCACAGGCCCTGAGAGGAACTCTGCCGAGGAGTGCTGAGCTTTGCCTTGAAAATCTCTACCAGTGAAAGCTTTGCAAAAGCCATACATTGCAAAGGATGAAGTGATTTGAATTGCACAATACAATAGTTATGCATTCCATTAATTAGTGACAGAAATACAATTCTCTTTCAAGCCTGGCTTGTTTGTGGAGTGGAACAAGAAGCCAAGTGTCTTCTGCTTCACAGGAGGCTCCCATAAGAATAGCACTTTCTTGAGAAACATTAGAAATACGTAATTAAGAAATCAGATAGGTGTTCTCTGGTTCTACACTTAGCCAGGAAACAGACTTCGTTTGCAGGTAATTATTGGGCAGTTTCCATCAACACAACCCCATCTCCCTGCAGCTTGAGAAGCTTCTGTCCAGGCCTACAGTGAGAAGGCAATTCTTCTCATTTCTCCTGTCTTTACTTTGTGCCTTCTCAATTCATAACTCTTCCATCTCCCCAGCCCTGGGAGTTACATATTGAGCATTTTAACATCTTCCAGACACTGTCGTCCACATGAAGCTTGGTTGCAATTAGGCATGTTTTCCTAACATCTTGCACTGAATTTTCATGGTACCTATATTTGCTGAAGTGAGAACTATGAAGAGAGACAGTATCTTTTACTGGGCTGACAGAGTTGAAAATAGCAGACAAGCTTTCATGCACCTTAGTCTTCTGGAAACCTGAGGATCTGGTATCTCCATGAGCTCATCCAACCTTTCCAGCTCTAGCCATTGCTCTTATAAAGCCTCTCCCTGAAAATTGCACCTTGCTTTTATCCTTGAACTATCACATTGTAAGTAATTGTACAATTTAATCACAACCTAAGAGGGCATTACATGTTGTATCACTAGATGGCAACATTGCTTTAACTCTCCGCTCTAAACTCTCCTTTCTAAATATACATCTATGGCTGTGTGGTCGCCAGATGAATTCAGGTGCTGAGGTTGAGAACGCAGAGCTCGGCCCGGTTTGGATGTGTTGGATATGCTCCCTACCTGGCTACCTCGGTATGAACACACTACACCATTGACAGTGGGAAACAGCAACAGGGGCACAATGTTATCAGAAAGCTCTGTAGTCCCACCTAGTTCTGTAACCTACCTACTACCTCTGGTAGTCAACACAAAGTGTTTCATGAAAGAATACAAGATCTCTTCTCCAGTGTACTCTTCAGCATCTGAAGTTTCCAGATTTGGCACTTCTAGTGCTTGCAGCTGCATCTGAACTACTGAATGTCAGAGCCACCAGCCACCATGAATTTGTCCTCTGCCTTTCAGACTTATTTCTGTTCTTGGTTCCTGTGTTCTCTTCTGAGTCTTTTCCCTCAGCCACCTCTTTTCTTAACTCATGACATCAGTAAAAGCTCTAAGCATAGTCATTAAAGCTCTGAGGTTCAGCATCTGTGCGGCTAAGCGCTGTCTTCTGTTCCTTGTGCCCAACTATTTTCTCATGACTGCACCAATATGACTCTGGGCTCCTCCTGCATCATACAGAGAGGTGCACAATTTATTTACACACCGGATAAAGAATACTATCAGATAAAGAATAGTATTGCTGGTTTTATGGATTTTTTTAGTTCATAAGTAAACCCTTTCTTACTGATTCTATGATTCTGTGATAAACCTTGCTGTCCTGTTGTGTGTTATGCTTATTTACATGTAACACATCTATTATTTGGGGTTTAAAAGCAGATGGACTCTCCTGCATACAGCCTGAATCCAGAGAATTAAAGTACAAAGTCGGGTGGTAGAGAGTTCTAGCATTACACAAAATGAACAAAGAATTGCGTAAAAACTGCTAAGCCGTCTTTCAAGCATTACTGAGAGCTACTCTCTTTACTAAATAAGGATGACAAAACTCACTGAATTAATCATGCTAACAAAATCACAAATGTAATACTATTAAACTTGCAAAAATATCAGTAACACTTCAGAAAATTACTCAAAGTTTCCATCTTTTAAAACAAACTCAATCACAACATTGTTTTTTTGCTGTAAAATCATACCATTCATTGATACATTTGGGTTTAAGTTTCCAGTTTCAAAATACAAATGTTTTCCACGTGGAACTCTGCTGCTCATTTCAAAACAAGCTTAACATCTTTAAGCAGCCCTGATACTTCAGAGATGAGAGCCACCATTCAAGACAAAAGCAACAGCAAATAGTGTTATTTGAACTTTCCTCTAGTTATTTTTTAGCTCATTTCCAGTGTCTATAAAATTCAGCTAGACATAAGAGCAGCATATTGCACACTTTGCTTCAGTCCTGCATGTTATGGAGCGCTAGTTGTACAATGTAGGGTCTGTATTATATTAAAAACACAGTACATACATATGCAATTCAAATATTCACAGTGGAGCACATCACCTTTCATGAAACAGATGCGGGATTCAGGGAGCTTCTTCATCAGGCGACCCATGAAGAACTCACTGCCAAAATCCTCTGCACGAATGAAGGCACCGTATTTTAAGAACCCGACCTCATAAGGGGTGAACTCCACCCATTCTGCAAAGGCACAAAAAGAACTTTTTAAATTCAAAAAATTAACTTTTTAATCTCGGTCCCTACTCCCCTGCAGGAAGGGCTCTGAAATGACAAGGAAGCAGCTGCAGGACAAACCCTTTCAGCAGGGTGATCACAGACTGATCTTCCTCAGGGCAAGAGGCTATCATTCAGCTGGTTTCACCTGCTCACTCAGTAATGTTTCCCAAACTCATTCATTCAGAACTTCCCAACAGGCCTCTCCAGACAGGACATGAGTGAAGTTTATACCAAAGCTATCAGCCTAAGTTACCCCGCATACAGGGCTAAGCCCTTGACTTGTGAGTACCTCAGCTGTCCTTAAGTACCTCTCCCAGATTTCTCCTGCCCCATAGATGACGGGTTCTTACCAGATCCTAGGCACAACATCTAGAAATGGAAGAGGAAGTTAAGGAGGAAAAGGAACTGCATATCAATGCTATGGTTCAGCAGTGCATGGGGTTGTAGGACATTCAGTAACTGATAATGCAGGTTATTTGAACACCAACCAAGTCCAGATACAGCTCAGGTTTGCCATCACCTTTGAACTCGGGAAGGCTGTAGTCTTCTTTGATGTTGAGGATCATGTAGATAGGTAAGGGATTCTGACCCTGACTCAATGCCTGTCGCTCATCTGAGAGTTTGTGGTTGTTTTTCTGTGAATTGACCAGAAACAGAGAAAGAGCAAAAACAAGGGACATTCTTGGCATGGTGCATGGGCTTGCAAGATTGCAGCAAAATAAATACCTGTTCCATCTTAATTTTCTTAGTCTCTCCACTCATTTTGTGTCCACACATTTTTTAAACCAAGGAGTGATCTAAATATTTACACATCCATATAAGCTTATTTAGTTACAGGGGGTACAATTTGTGGTACAATGGTCTCTCATTCTTTCCAGTAAAAGCATCCACTTTACAAGTTCTTGCAAGAAACCAAAAGCAGGATTCTGCTGTTAAGTGATCAGATACTCATACTGGTAGAAGACATATGTTTTCTGTTCTACATATTACCCTATGGGCTGCTAATTACATGCTGAGAGATACGTGGGGACAAAACCCCTTTGTTAGTCAGCAGAAATCATCTGCTGGATAATGCTGGCACACTCTCAGACTAGCATCTGCCCCTAGATCTTAATTTTCCATACAGGAGAACTCAGTAGCTGTTACAGAAAGCATGGACACACTACCCCATCACTTAACGCTTTTTCCAGCAGAAGCCCCCATAAATCAATGCTAGAGATCTGGTATCCCTCTTGCTTCCTCAGTTTTAGCTCCTTGTCATAGTACTTCAAGCTCTCCAGGGAAAAGCAGCTTAGTTTGCACTTGGTCATATGTCTGCGGACTTCACCAATCTGTCTGGACAGATCCTTGTGTGACCAGTCAGTGCTCTGATACAAGTGTGACAAGGTCCTGGGGAAAAGAAAGGAAATATATGTTATCATATGCCTAAGACACTTTCACTTGTTAGACTTGGATTTAAGGACCACATCAAATGAACTATCTGAGGTTCATTAAACACATTTTATGGGCTCTATTACTGAAAAGATCTTTTGATTTAGGGACACACACACACCTGCCCCACTAGTGAAACCTAAGGACTTCCAAAAAGCCCCTCTGTGCTATGTTGATTTACGTACACATCCATGACTTGTACATAACAGGGGAAGTTTAGATTAGATGTAAGGAAATTTTTTACTGTGAGGGCAGTGAGGCACTGGAATGGGTTGCCCAAGGAATATGTGAATGCTCCATCCCTGGCAATGTTCAAGGCTGGGTAGGACAGAGCCTTGGGTGACATGATTAAGTGTGAGGTGTCCCTGCCCATGGCAGGGGGGTTGGAACTTGATGATCTTAAGGTATTTTCCAACTCTTAATTATTCTATGATTCTATGACATACACCAGAATCACTCACTAGGAAAGATCCTAAAGGTGAAACAAAGGGTCAAGGAAAACGTTGATCCACATCAGCCATTGCTGGCTCAAGCAATGTGTTCCTAATGCAGGAAGAAAAAAACCCTGAGACTGAAGTAGTACAGCTTCCTTTACTAAAATAAAGAAGAAAATTCTCTCACACAGCAGACTATTGAGGTGATGAATGATGTTCTTCATTCTTCTTACCATGTTGAACCAGATGACCCAGTGATGTATGAAATAGCATCTAAGAGACCCAGCTTCTGAAGACCCAACAGGTTGCCTAACAAAGATGTCAGTGCCCGGGTGCCACCTCCTGTTGTCATGACTGCCACAACTGGTACCTGTTTAAATATCGACATGGCAGTGGTAAATAACTTAGTTTACCAGCACATGTGATCAGAGCTGAGTTAATTGCATCATTTCTGTTCCACAAGAAATTCCAACATTTCACCATTTCTCAAGCAGGAGAGAAAAAGATGAAAATCTGGTATTTTGCACAGAAGGGGGGGGGGGGAAGAAAAGAAAAAGAAAAATTGGTAATTAGCTAATTTTGAGGTTTTTGATGAATCAATTTTGATTCTAAATTGCTACATGCTGGCTTACCAAAATAGCTCAAAAGTCGTTGATTCAAGTCATTTCAGTATTAAAGTGCATTTTCCTTAGTGAAAGATCATCTCATGAGAGCTCTATTTTGAGAACAATCAGAGCTCATCCTCTCTTGTAACTCAAGTATAATGACTATATTACATTTCCTATAAAGTACCTACAGTGTATAATTGCAGTGATGAACCACAAAGGCTAATTGCATGGAAATCTGAATTGTCTTACTGGAAAGCAAATTCCTCCAAGAAACCCACTGAGTGGAGCCAAATGACATTTCCCATACACATTGCCAGGCAATTGCATCAAGGAAATAATCAGTAGTGACCTGATTCGAATCAAGTGTTTCAGGTTAAAGCAAAATTTTCTGATCTGAGTTTATCTGTCTGTGAAAAAACATTCTTTTGTTGGAAAATCTGAAATTAATATTAAAAAATTATTATACTAAAGATACTACTTCTTTTCCCACAAAAACTAGTGTTCTAATGAGAAACAATATACTGATGTGACCAGTTTGTCAATGGGAACATTGCTTATAGCATTCAAAACCATTCTATCATACAATGTTTAATAGGCCTTTGGTCCAGCTGTCCCGAACAAAGGGAAAACCAAAGGTGACAAGAACTCTTCAAATGAAAGCTTCATTTCTAAAGTGCCTGAACACAGACTGTGTCCCCTCCCTAAAGTACCAACTGTCCTCAAACCACCACAACATGAACAAATACAAACCCTAACTCAGTCAGACAGACAAGAGAAAAATGTTGAATGTCTTTGTGATGTCAGAGTGATGGTAACTAAGATGTTGAACACCAGAGGAGTCTGTGATATGAAACATTCAGTGTTATATGTCACTTTAACTGTTTAAGTGTTTGTCCCCTCCAAAATCTGATAATAAGAAATGCTTTATGGGGCCTTGGTGATGGCATGCTCAGCTTAAGAGAGTAAGGCTATCACAGATGAAAAAGAAAAAAGAGAAAAAAATGCTGATTGATAGCATTTTGTTTTCTGAACAAGCACGTAGCAAATGGGTTTGATCCTATCCATGCTCCCACATTGTTTCATCTAAACATACCTCGATGCTTTACATGGGACACTACATCAGGGCTGGTTAAGGACCAATATGCAAACATCTGCAAGCATAACATGTTGCTGTTCCACAGCACAGTCCAGACTCTATGGTGTTCCCCATACCTCATGGTCCTGTAGGTCTCGCTCTAAATGAAGTGATTTTTTCAGAGCAGAAGCCACAAACTTCCTCCGTTTCTGCATGAAATTTTTCTCCTCTGTACACAGATCAAACTCCAAGCGAACATCTAAGTTTTGTGACCTGAAAGAAAGCTCAGAGTTAAATAGGATGGGCATGATCACTTACAATTAATGTCTGGACTCATCCTTACAAGTCACAAACTGTACTGTTAGGCTTAGAAAAGCTGCTGTTGTGACACACAAAAGCATATTGCAGATGATATAGACATGGTAGAGAAAAGATAAAGTCAAAAGGTTGTAAAATCTTATAAAAACAAAACCAGAAATATTGCTTATTGCTACACTGATTTTCAAGAAGCGTTTAACATAAATACTGCAATCCATCTACAGATACTACCAACAGTGGAATATTCAAGATTTGTTGCCTAAAGCCCTCCAGATTTTATAAATACAAATACTGAGAATTCTTTACAAGTAGGGAAGTGAGGTATAAACACATCTCTTCTTAAACTTGAAGCTCCATGGACTTTGCAGCCAAAAAAGATTATTCTCTCTATCCAAATGGAACTCCTGCATAGTGGCATAACAGGAAATTTCACACAGCTCAGTTGGCAATGTTCACTTTCTGGATATGGGTAATTAGCATGGGATAAATAGGGATGAATATAATACATTCTCCCTTAGTTACAGAAGAAAAGTAAGAGTGCAAAAAGCCTGGCTGGCATCTTTCTTTTTCCACAACCACAGAACCCAAAGGTAGAATTACCTACCAGTCATTTGACTTCACATCTAAATTGATTGCTTCATCCTAGGGAAAAAAACCACACTGTAATAACTGGAGATTATTTTATTGTCCTTTTCTTTCCATTCAGTCAGCTGTGAAGCCCTACACTTTTTCTGAGAGCCATGTTGGAATCACAAAGCCGTAACAATCAGAAAATCCATCCAGTTTTTAAAACTCCTCCAAATCCTCTTTATTTTCTTTAAATTGTTTCATACTAAAAATACAAACAGCAGTACAGAATAAAAAACCAGAACCATCTCTGCCTGTGTGCCCTATCTTGCCTCATGGTTTGCATTGGCTCTGATGTGAATTAGGCCCCCAGCAGGTCAGAGAAATCCCTCTGTCATACCGGGGTTTTGGTTTTACTTCATTCATATGAAAATGTACAGGTACATAACCCTCTATCTTAGGAATGTAAGGGCACCAGCAGTTACATATCCACCCCCCTACTTCACACTGATTTAATTAAGTCATGCCCATTGATCTTTGGTCCATAGCTTCACATTTATTCTAAAGAGCTGCTGTCAATCACCTTTGCCACTGCTACTTTCTCCTTGAAGGGGAGTGAGTCCAGAGGAATAGTGAGGGACGCATGGCAGTCTTTTTTCTCTTCATCTGAAGTACACTGAGAAAGAAATTACAGTGTAGAAAACTATTCAGTGTATACACCACAAAAAAGTACTGTGTCCAACTTACCCTACCAAATGGGGTCACCATTCAGCAGTTTCCAAGTTGGCATCTGAAATTTAGGTGTCTTAGGGGGTACAATGTTCTTCCAGAGTGAAAGATAATGAAAGATGAGATTTAATTGAAAATAATTGATAGGATTTAATTGAATTATTTCCTTTTACCTCAGCTAAGTATGGAAAACTGTGAGTTTACTGTGCTTACTGAAGCTGACGTTCACATACCAAAGGGAAATGAGGTTTCTTCTGTGCTAGAGCTACGCGCAGCTCTGACAGGCTGTACTTGATGTAATGAAAGTCCAGGGACTTCACAGGTTGCCTGGAAGAGCTCAGTGACAGGGTCTGGCTCTCTTCGTAGGATCCCTTCACTGAGAACAAGAAGTCTTTTTCTAAGAAGAAAAGAGATTAAAAACACATAGAGAAGTTAATTACAATGATTTCAGAAATTGAACATGAAATAGTCATTCAGAAGTTGTCATTTTTATATATAAAACACTCAACAATGCTTAAAAGCTGCAAGACTATTTATTGAACTAGGGAACATCACAAGAAGAAGTTAAAAGCAGAAAAAAAAAAAAAGAAAACAAAAAAAATCCCGAAGAGCTCATAAAACAGCAGTAGCTGTGCAAAAAAACTCAGATATACAGGAAATTTGGGCAAAATATAGATTATTAATAGAGGAATATATATTTACTTCTATTCTACAGCACTAAGAAGATTTTTTCATCACTCTAGTAATTCATTTGAATGGCAAAGTCCAGGATTTATAGTTAGCATAGATACACTACAGTTGTTGAATCTGTGATCCTGCAAATACTCATAAACATACAGTTCCTTTGCTCTAATTGTAAGAACCAAATAGGAAAATGGCCAGATAAGAAAATGACAAAAAAAGAAATTACAATTTACTATAAAATAAGATTTTTTAGTTTCTAAGTTTAAAGTCTAACCTGAAGGTTCTTTTTTCATCTGTCTGTTGTCCACTAGGACTTCCAAGCAGGAAATTTCACGAGACTGCATGGATGAATGAGAGAATTAAGTGTACAAAACATTCTGCATCTGAGTTACTTCACTGCTATCTGTCTCTGGTCACCTGGTTCCTCTCTACCCTGTGTTTATTAGGCTTATAAGAGAAATACCTTGGCACTGAAGATATGCCAGGTTTCAGCTGAAAGAAAAATGGCTATGGTGGTCCATGCACAGTGATGGGGCTGGAAAGGGATGGGAAATAACAGGGGGAGGAATGTGGGTGTGCTGAGGTTTCCAAAGCTAGACTGGTGGGTCAGTCAAGTCACAGGTCTATCCCTGCAGCCCTGCTTCGGTGGTTGGATAGCCAAGTGCTACCTCCTCTAAAAAACAAGTTAGGGGCAGTGGAGAAAGCAACTTCCATTGAGGTGTGGAAAACTGGATGGCCATGAGTGTGTCCAAGGGAAATCCCAAGAGGGAATGAATGACACAGAGGCATTAAGTCAATGAAAGAGAACTTCAGGCTTCATCAAAAAGCTTGTTATCAGCTGGTGGTAGTGGACAGTTCTCTGGGTATCTCTAGAGATTGTGTTCACTCTTTCCTATTACATCTTCCCACTGGGAGCAACACAAGAGGATAGTTGCCAGTGCCTGACAACCCTTTTCCCTCCCATTCAGCCGTGCTTGTAGTGAGGTGCTGGGGCACCTGTCAGATTCACCACTCCCATCACTAGCGTTTAAAAAAATCTACAAGAGAAATAGTTTAAAATTACCACTAATACACCATTAGTGACAAGCTTTTCAGGAGGAACTGGACTGAAAGAGAGGAAAAAAATATGCAGTCAGAACTAATATTAAATAAATAAATTCTTAAACAAACACCAAGGAATAATACTCTGCTCTGGTGAGACCTCACTTGGAGTATTGTGTACAGTTCTGGTGTCCTCAACATAAAAAGGACATGGAAATGTTGGAACAAGTCCAGAGGAGGGTCATGAGGATGATCAGGGGACTGGAGCACCTCCTGTATGAAGGTAGGCTGAGAAAGTTGGGGCTGTTCAGCCTGGAGAAGAGAAGGCTGTATGGAGACCTCATAGCAGCCCTCCAGTATCTGAAGGGGGCATATAGGGATTCTGGGGAGGGACTCTTCATTAGGTACTGTAGTGGTAGGACAAGGGGTAATGGGTTAAAACTTAAACAGGGGAAGTTTAGATTGCATATAAGGAAGAAGTTCTTTACTATAAGGGCCGTGAGGCACTGGAATGGGTTGCCCAGGGAAGCTGTGAATGCTCCATCCCTGGCGGTGTTGAATGACAGGTTGGAGAGAGCCTTGGGTGACATGGTTTAGTGTGAGGTGTCCTTGCCCATGGCAGGGGGGTTGGAACTAGATGATCTTAAGGTCCTTTCCAACCTTAACTATTCTATGATTCTATAATAGAATCATAGAAAACTTTCCTTAAAGTTTGCCTTGTTCAGCATAGTCTCAAATTTGTCACTGATTTTTTATTTTGACAGACATCTGAAAGTTTCTTCCTTATTCTTTTAATGATGATGGTAAATAATTGTAGTAATAAGCACAGGGGCTGCAGTTCTTACTATCCTTCTCCCTCTTCCAGAAATAATGAGATGAATTATTGTTCAGAATGATTTTTGGTAGATAAGGAACATGAAGTTTTAGCCAATATGCAACTAATTTGATAAACACCAGCTGTTGCTGTTGTGCTGAGCATCTTAAACTGTATTATACCACATGCTAGCATATGCTTGACTGCTTGCTTTTGCAAAGTACAGTTCTTTGGTCTCATATGGGTTTTACTTACATGCTCTCCGATGCAAATTCAACCTCCAGCGTCTCTTGTGTCTGTAAAAGTTCATTTCATTATAAATATTCAGAATTCATTTTCTTTCTCACTAGCTATGGTTGCCAATGATTATCCTGGCTCCTGAAACAGCTCTTAAAATCAAATTTTACTCCTGCTCTAGGGTATGAGCAGATGAGTGAAAGCAATACAGTTAGAATGATTTGGAAACTATTCTCCTTCCATCATTAACCATCAGTTCCCAGGCTGACTGCACTCCATACAGTGGTAAGGCAGAGTAAAATGGCCACGTAGCCAATCCTCCATCCTGTGCCTGCCATAACTGTTGGCCTAAAACTGTCTAAAGCCTTGTTTTTTCTGGGTAACATTATCAGAAGACTGATACTGTTGAATAGCAGAGGGCATTCTCATTCTTTTGATCGAAAGAACTATAACACAGACAATAAATTGACCAGTCACCAGACAAGCTACTATAGACAGGTGCTTGTCAATATCACCATAGAGCTGAATACATACCCTACACTAAAAATCAGTGAATCAGCAAATCTATAAAAGTATCTAAATCCCATGCTATGTCATCATGTATGGGTTCAGATGCACTGAAGTAATGAGACAGTTACGGTAATTGACAGTCAATGCATTTTAGCACTTCTGCATGGGTCTTTGTGCTATATTCAGGTATACACAAAGGACTTACAGGGCAGGGTATCTGATTTTAAGTGAATACTCCAACATCTGTATCAGAATATGCCCAAACTCACAAATGCTGGTCATAGGAATGGAAATTCTAACAGAGAAACTTTGTGCAGTGGTGATGAAGTCTTTTATCTCCAACAAAACCTATTTGGTCAACACAGCCAAGAACAAGAAAAATGAGAAAACTCTGCTAAGAGGTTTGAGGAGGTAGCAAAAACTTTCAGGATTGTGTCTGAGGTAGGAAAGTAAACCTTGTCCACTTTGCTGAACAAGGCTTGGAGGGCAATTTGCAAGATATATGAAGTGCTGACCATGTAAACCCTCCCATCTACAATCGCTTTACAATAAGTTATTTAATACATAATACCAAAATTTCCCTCCTGTGGCCAAGGCAGTTTTATTCCTTACCTTTGGATTTAGCTGAAAAGTCAAGTGAACAGTTTCTCCAAGCTGGATTTTAGCAACATCAAAGAGGACAGTGAAGAGAAGGTCATCTTTAGTGACTGAATTTTCATCATAGATTTTCAGCTCAAGAATATTCTGTGAAAAGAACTACAGGATTAGGAGCATCTCTATTTTGAGACCTTATGGAGGCACAAGATGATAGTCTCAGCATGTTAAGGAAGAGAGAGAAAGGATGGGGAGAAGTGAGAGAGCATGCACAACCTTTCATCCACCCAGAACTGAAAATATATATTCTCCACCTAACCTAGTTGTATTTGTTGTGGATGTTCCCCTAATTTAAAAGACAAAGGCTAGCAGAATCATTGAACACATAGCTCCCACACACACACTAGCTCCCATACTGAAAACCACATTTGACCTCTAATTTGGTTTGAGGTCACCACTTTTCCCTGAATTGTAAGAAACCATCTGGTGGCCAGGAATTTGTTGCTATTGGTGATAAGTAAATAAATAAATAAATACATAAATACATAAATCCGATTTAAGCAGGGATTAAAATACATTAAGGAAGCACCATATAACTGCTACATGTTGCATAATTATATCCTGTAAATCATTATTAAACAGATCACATGCAAATAGTTACCACAGAAAATGCTACAGTTTTGTTAAATTGGTGACAAAATGCACAGAAAGCAGCAGAACAAAAGCCTGTTTTCATGGGATTATAGGCTACTCCTCTCAATCTCCTTTTCCTTCCTCCCACTGCACCAATCTCCTCTCCCTCTTGTGTCATCTGCCTTTTTGGATAGACTGAAGTGGTAAAGGCCCCTGCTGTGCCTTGCTGGTAGCTGCACATGGGCTAGCTCAGAGATGCCTTCCAGAGCGCTGAGCAAATTACCATAAATGCCTGTTTTCTCAGTGGGGAAGTAATTCAGGCCTCTCCATATATTCAGCAGCTCATTTTCATGTGAATCGCAGGAATCTCTTATCTCAGAGATTCTTACTTATCCATCAGATTTAACTGAGAAGAACTGATTTAACTGAAATGTATGGAAAGGAAGATGATCCAGAATCCAAACACTCAATGCTGACATCTGTAATTTCTGTAAGAAACTAGCAAGGGAGAGATGGCAAGATGTAGTGAATCTGGGTTTGCAGTTTGCTATCAGAAGACAGAAAGGTTGCTGCACTTCATGGACATATATGTTGTAAATGCATCACACTGTGCTTCAAACAGCAAAACAATTCTGCTTGTGGCTGACGGGCCAGCACTGGGTTCCTGCCACCAGGCTTTCTAAGAGAAACATAGCAACAAAAGGCAGAGAAGCAGCCATAGCAACTTGGTTTACAGGCCAGCTATAAATAGCCTGTAAAGATTATGTAAGGTGATGGAGGTGGTATGCTTAAAAGGAACAGTCTGCAGTTTGTAGAAGGCAGGCATACATTGAAGAGCAGATCAGTTTTCCTAGCTGTGGTTCTGCAACAGACTGTCCATTTTTGGCTGGAAAAGCTGACTTATTTTGTTAGTGACCAACTGATTTGAAGTCCCTTAGTTACTCCCAGCTAGCCAGAAGGGCACACACAGCATGCTGGCTGGCTAAGAGAGACCTCGGCTGCACCACTGGGATGCTGTGTGGGAAGCAGCTGGGGTTGTCTGTGCAATTCACTGTTTCTATCCACTCCTGAGGGAGGATATGAGGGCAGCATCACTGGGAGCCAAGCACTGAGCAGAGCCAGCTCTTGGTGGGGCTGTGCTACCAGCTCCAGGCAGGGTGGCCTCCTGGAGCCAGGGGAGTGCTGCCCACAGAACCAGCTGGGAAGCCCTTCCTCACCATCTGCGCTTTGTCAGGCATTCATCTAAACAGATGATTTTTCGTAAACATTCCTGCTCCTGATGGGAACCAGCCTGACATATCTGAACAAGTTTCTCTCTTCCACAGTGACAGTGTACTATATGAATTTACTGAGCTCTGGCTCCTAGGATTTAGGAAAATGAATACCTCAATGATACACCAGACAGGCAAGGAGAAAACAACCAGCAGACTAGCTCTGATCAGTGAGTAATGAGCAGAGCAATTGAAGCGTTTGAAAAGAAACCTGTAAGAGCTTTAACTTAAGTCTGTTGAGTCCAGGCAGCAGCAAGGTAGCACTGACAGACATGCCAGAGAGCTTTGGTTGTCCCAGATCCCCATGACACATTTTGTGCAGCCCACAGCAACAGCTGCCATGCTGCTGTCACTACACACTGAAAATTATAGGGGCTAATCTCACATCTTGTCTCCTGCTGCAAAGTTACTGCAAACTAAATGCAAGGTCCTCTCAAATACTACTCTGTGAGGGACTAGCTCCAGCAGCTTCCTGTAGCCAAGGTATTTTTTCCAGCTGTTAACATGTGTTATTGCAGTTTTGGAAGACCTGTCAGCCACAAACCATTGCAAGGAATAGGTGTTCTGGTGCAAGAGCTGTAGAACAGTGGGTGTTTGTTCCCATGCTGCAATGCTTGTCCCTTGCCTTTCACCTCCATGACAAACCTGCAGGGCTCAGTGGCATTGTGTTTCACTGCTATTTTGAAAGACATTGGAATTGTTTAGGTTGCAGGGGAAGCACTGGATGTAGGCTGTAAATGGGCAGGTGTGTTAAAGCTGAATGCTGTACTAAACAGGACCAGTACCACGTAACTGTGGAAGGAAGCCTGAGAATTTGTATCATGGGCAACTTCTGCAGACAAATGCAAGAGTGACTGTTCATTGGAGACCCTGTGGTGTAGCAACACTTTGGGCTATTCTGAATAAGCCTTTTGAAGGATTTTATTGACACCCAAGAGAGCTGGGGGACTGGCCTACTGATCAGGCACGTGACAGAAAAGTTCTTGTCCTGCTCTGCCACCAGTGCTAGGAAATGATGGGTGCAAGTTGTAAAACAGTATTTGATTCCCCAGGTGTGAAGTAAGCTGGGCTTTACTTGGCCTGTCACTGATCTTTGTGGATTCCTAGGCCCTGATGCTGATGCTGTCTTTTGGAGGAAGTGGACAGTGGGACTAGCAAATCTTCTGAAGCTCTACATTCATCATCGTGGTAAAAGCTCAGCTGGTCTTTTGCAAACTTTATTTTGTGATAGTTGTATCACAAGGTTGTTGTTCTAAAGGAAGAGCTAAAAAGAACAGCACTGTGAGGCTTCCACTACTAAGCTCATGAATGTCTTTTATGCTGTTCAATTTACCCTGAAATTCTCACTTTTACTGTTCAAAAGCAGGAACTTCAAAAAGAAAAAAGGAAAAGTGAAAAGTGACAGATTACATGAACAGCTGTGAAATATCTTGTTTTTCTTTTATATAGCAGAAAATAATGTTGCTGCTGCATGCTACTCCACATCCTCTTATCCATGTCCTTGTAGACCCTCACACATACTTATATTTAGGGTGCTATACATATCAATCACACAATGAGATCTCTGCCCCAAAAGAAAAACAAAGGCACTGTGCATCTTACTTTTACTTGTCTCTGGATCCTGAAGCAAAATGTTTCATTCCACACTGGATCTTTGCAGTTCTTGACAGTTTTGGTTCGGACGGTCTCAGGGGAAGCAGTGGGCAAGGACAGGCTTACGTAGCAATCAGTTTGACTAACTGCATTTGGAAAGGCACATTGTCACACATTGCTATAAATCTCTTCGAGCATAGCCTTATAGCCATGTATAGACAGCAAGCTGCAAGAAGTAGGTATTGTTTCTACTGCTTTTTTGACAGGTCCTTATTCAAAAGCATTCACTGCTTTGTTGCCTCCTGCAGGTGGGAACTTTAGTCATTAGTGAAGATTCAAAGAAACTACTGCAATAAAGATAACGGGTAAGAAAAAATAAGCAGAGCTAGTTTTACTGAACAAAATCCATCACTGGGACGTCCCCTGCTTGTTGCAAATCAACAGATTTCTGTGACAGAGAAGAAAAAGGTTTGCATTTTAAGAGAAGCTTTTTAAAGGATAGAATACTTATTTAACTAATTGAGCATTTAGACAAGGGTTTAACATTGCCTTGTGCTCTTCAGAGGGTAACAGAAGAGCTAAAGAGGGTCTGGATATAAAGAATTTTCTGCCTCTGGTCTGCTGCACCAGTGTATCTGTATTCCATTCCATGTAATGAGCCAACTGTCTCACCCAACATGATCACATCCTTTCACTATCAACAAATATGCAAAAGTAGCAATGCACTTTTACTGATTTAAACTCTGAGCACTGATACTGAAGAAACTTCTAACTTCTGAAAAAGGTGTGCAAGTAACACAGGGTTGCACAGTTAGCTACAAGTATGACATTAAATCTTCACAACACATGGGGCTGCTTTGGGGTGGGCTCCCAGGAACAGCCCCCACTCAAGCTGGGGCAAACAGACCCCCAGCCAGGAAGGCACAGCTAAGCTTGACACTGCCTCAGGGTGTTGACATATCTGTTGGGGAGTGTCAGAGGTCTTGGGTAGGCTTGGTACATCTATGACTGTGCAATTAACTTTCCTTTTGTGTGTATAACCTCACGTATGTAGAGTATTTGGTGTTTAGGATTCTCTCCAATACTGCTAAGATGGTAATGGGTTTTTAGCAGGGAGCACTGCTGGGCAATTACTCCTAAGTGCATAAAGGAGTTTATGTCTTGTGAACCTGTGATAGCTAACTGAGACCCTGAACAATGAAGAGTGATGTGACTCTCTCTCTACACTGTCATTCACCCTTTCCAACCCTCCCATTTGGAGCAAATCTGCTGTCCTTTGGCTCTGTACACTGTTTGCACTCTTTTGTCTGCTGGGCAACTACAACTGCCTCTAATGTCTCCAGTTCTAAGAACTTGCTTTGCAATCACAGTAACAGGTTAGATTTGTGTATGATAACAGGCAGTTTGGGTACTGTGTGAAACATGCTGAGAAGCCTTATGAACAAGTGGGTAACCTGCTGGAAAAGCTATCATGACATGTTGGCTCCAGTCCCAGCTCTGCTCCAGACTAAGTCACTTTGGGCAATTGCTTCCATTAAAATTTAGCCTGGTTATCTGTCCACATTTCCTCATCAATAAAACAGCAATAACCGTCCTTTACTCTTTTGCATTCTGCTTTGACATCCCATGACTAAAAGCACTATACCTGTCCTTTACTCTTTTGCATTCTGCTTTGACATCCCATAACTAAAAGTACTATACAAAAAATGACTAGTTATTAATATTTCCACATGACCCACAAGAAGAGTGTGCCTTACTAGTAACTGTGTTGTTCTTTCTCTGTTAGTCTCCTCCTTGGCATTCCACACTTTCTTTAAACTTGTGGTATAACCCATGTGGCAATGAATAGTTGCTTAAAGCAATCTGTGCAATCAGGTTATTATGTATGATCTATCTGTCAGTCTTCTGATACCATCTGAACATGAAACATCCTACAGTTTTTCAGCACATATTTGATAGTTTCCCCCTTATTATCCATAGCAGGGAAGAAATTACTTTAACATTGCAAATGCAGATGCCTATAGTTCTTATAAGTAACATTAGGATACTTTTAGATTTATTATTACAATTTTAAAATGCAGAATATGTGTAATGTACCTTTAGATAAAAATTTATTGTTAAAGGAGGTGGTAAAATAGTTTATTTACCTCTCTTTTCCACTGGTTTAGACATTTGCAAAAATTAATATCAACTTTGCATAGTTACTTCCCCAGATTATGTCAGAGAAGCATGCAAAAGTAAGCATATCTGTTTCTTCAGCAACTGTGTCAGTCAACTGAGGACTACTGGGATGTGTGTTTTGGAGGATCTGTTAATTTATAGTCTGTTTTGTTGTACATACTAGCTTTGAATACTGATTTAATAGACTGGCATTTGATATTCTCAGAGTGTCAAAGAAACGCTAAACTTGTGATTTATTATCTTGTATCTAAATAAAGACATGGTGGGATCTCTGTTGAGTCTTTTACCCTCTCTGAACACAACAGAACTACAGCTGACTTCAGAAGTTAGTCTAACCTTTAGCAAAGCTGTTCACCCTTAATAAGAGCAAAACCAAAGTTCCACAACCTGATAATCCATGTGTAACACCAGCTCAGTTAGCAGCTAGTGAAGCTTCAGTTTCAACATAAGCCCATAAGAATGCAGATAGGCAAAGATACTCGAATCTAAAACCAGACAATTACAGCCAAGTCACTGCATGAAGAATAACAAACTATGTCCCAGAACCATAATGTTGCAGGACTTACCTGATAACACAGATTTAGATAAATTTTGGACTACATCCCAAATACAGAGTGTTAAACATGGTACAGGTGATGAGATTTAGTGCTGAGATTGCTTTGCATACACTCTAAGCCTTGAGCATGAACAAGCAGATGCTCAGTGTGTTCTATGTTGCAGTTCTCTTTCTCTTTTTTCTTCCCTTCACAATAAAAGGCTTTAACTGTTACCAGCTACTAAAATCAAATATGTCCAGATTGCAGAGGACTGACTAAGGCTGGCACGTAAGAAAGAGCTGAAAGAATTGAGTTTGCTAATTCAACAACAACAAAGATTATCAAATAACATAATAGTCATCTGTAATGTCCAAATGATTGATACAAAGAGGACAAAGATCTGTGTCTCTCTGTGGCTAGAGGGAAATAAATATAAATATTAGGAAAACTGCCCCAGCTCAAAGAGAGTTAGTTCTAGCAAGAGATTTTATAACTTTTCTAGGTAACTCATTTCAGATGGTATTGGTCCCCAGATACGTATCAAAGAGTGACTGACAAGGTAAACTTGATCCTGCTTCAGAAGAGGACCAGCCCAGGTGAACCTACATGGTGTCATATGGAATTGCTGTCATGTGATGCTCATGTTTATGCTGGAAGGCAATAAACAAGATAAACATGTCATGTCAATTATATTGCATGGAAACCAACTAACCGATCATCTTCATATTGTACACCAGCCCAAGACACCAATTCCGAGACACCTGGGCACTGGCTCCAAACCTCCTTCTTGGATACCTAAAGTAAGAATGTATCTTCATTGAACATTTTGCTACCTTTCCTTCCCAAACACATACAGTGTCCAAGTAATAAGGCAACAATCCACACCTAGAGCCTCTGTGTACTATCCAATATAACTGTTGAAAGAAACAGTACATAAAGCAACACAATGTAATGCAGGGAAGCCCACAACAGCTATGCTACAACTTCTCCCATCCGCCCCATGTCCTCCATAAGGCAACAGGGATAAATTATATCTCCTAAGTGGCAGTTTGCGTATATGTAGATGTTCTTGAAAGATTTGTACATGCTAACAGAGGTGCAGGTGTCATTGGATCACCCTTACAGATACGCTGTTTTGGCAATTTGGAACTAAAAATCAGGTATTTCCATAGGAATATCCCTATGAATTAAATTTTGGACCTACAGGGCATAACACACGGGTGAAGATTACACCCATGATTATTTGGCTTATTTGTTAAGGACATTGCTCATTCAGCCTGGATTAAAAGCTTACATTGCAGCAATGGTTCATCCTGACATAAATACTATGATTTGGATGCTTTGCCAACATTTGGCAGTGAAGTCTTTACATTTTGTATGTCTTTTCTACTATAAGTTTCCTTCTTATCAAGGTAAGTCACAGATAAACACAGCCTCCAGCCTGCCTTTTATCACAAGACTACAACTAATCCTATTTTCACAGTGAAATTAAATAAGCTCATATTCTGGCTGGAGTCCTTCAGGACTCCCAACTGATATAACAGTTAAAAGCATCTTTCCTGCAACTAAGAATGAATGAAAGCATTAAGAATAGGTACATCTGACTGTCAAGGAACATTTATTTCCAAGACCCCTTTTGTCTATTTTTTGTTCTTGAACAGAAAGGGCACTCTAAAGAGGGTAGTCAAGGTTGGAGCTGAACAAGTAGGAAAGGTGAATACCTTTGCCAGGCAGACATTCAGAAAGATTGCCAATTTAATGGCAGAACACAATGCAAGCAGCAGCACCAACATTTTTGAGTGAATCTTAGTTTTAACCTTTGCTGGCTACTACTCCAGCACTACTTTACCAGCTCCTGCTGAGGATACAGTCATACCAAGTGCCCAAGAGAGAAGCCATAGTCTCACATGGACACTCTCATGTGTCTTCTCAGCAATGTGGACTATCGCAGCCATGTTCATTTAGCTTCTCTACTTTACATTGGCCTCCCACGTAATAGCAAATCACATCCGAGTTCTTGGTCCTTATCTACAAGGTAATAAATGTCTTTGGTTCAGCAAAAAGGTTGCCTGAAGCTCCTCTCTGGGAACCATTACTGATAAAGGTCCTCAAACTCTGTGAGTCTCTCCAGTGGGCATGGCTGTCCCTGGCACTGCTCTGAGTCTTCTCAATAAACCTCTACTGGGACTAAGACATACCACAGGCCTTATTACATTGTTATTTTAGCATGCAGCTCGCCTCAGCAGTGCTGATGCTTGTGAAAGAACTCGTCTAGATGCTTGTGAAAGAACACTAAGAGAGCACAAATGCATAAAACAAAACAGGTCTCTCCTCAGAGGGTACAGGAAAGAATGAATCACTGCTTACAATATCAGTCCCATTGCTTAATGCATAACTGAATGAGTTGCAGATACTGCTGGCTTGATGAA